TAATGGCCAATGCACTTGAATACAGTGTGCTAGAACATAAGCATATTTTCTATGGGCAGAAGCCACTTCCACCACCGGAAAGGATATGTATGCTTTTTGCCATTTTTTGCCTCTTCTACTACAGACCCACATTTTGCTCCAATGCTGTTCCTTGGAGTCATGATGTTGAACATGATTTTAATCAATCAATTAAAATCATGTTCAAAATCATGACTCCAAGGAACAGCATTGGAACAGCATTTATTAATTAACTGATCAACATTATTTGTAGTCCACCTTTCTCACAGGGACTCAAGGTGGGTTACACATAGTGAATCAGTACAGTCAACAAAATGGGACATAGAATAACCAATACATTAGGATTTTAAAAGTCTGGAACCACTAGAAAGAACTGAAGCACAGCATAAGTGTTAACATGATACATTAAACAGTGCAGAAATTACATAATAGGATCCTACTTATGATAAACTATGCACAACAATATAGACTACCCAGAGCAGGCTACAGTAAAAAGGTCAAGGTTTCCCTTGCTCGAAAGCTAGTTGGATCCGACTCTAGGGGGCAGTGCTCATCTCCATTTCCATGCCAAAGAGCCAGCGCTGTCTGAAGACGTTTCCGTGGTCATGCGGTCAGCATGACTAAATGCAGAGGCACACAGAATGCTGTTACTTTCCCACCAAAGCACTACCTATTTATCTACTTGCAATTTCTTGGTTTCAAACTGCTAGGTTGGCAGGAGCCGGGGCCAGAGAGGGGAGCTAGGGTTGCCAGGTCTGGGCTGGAAAATACCTGGAGACTTTGGGGGTGGATCCAGGAGAGGGCGGGGTTTGGGGAGGGGAAGGGCCTCAGCATGATACAGTACCACAGAGTCCACCCTTCAAAGCAGCCATTTTCTCCAGGGGAGCTGATCTCTGCCAGCTGGAGATCAGTTGTAAAAGTGGGAGATCCCCAGGCCTCACCTGGAGGCTGGCAACCCTAACGGGAGCTCACTCTGTCATGTGGCACTAGGGGCTTGAACTGCCAAGCCACCAACCTTCCAGTCGGCAGCTCAGTGTCTTAACCTCTAGGAGGTGGTAAAGTTTGCATTTAGAAATGCAGTTAGACTGGAGGAACTTTGCATAGGATTGTGCTATAAGCCTCTGGTTTTGACTTAAAATGGACCAAATTTCATTGACAGCCTTATCCTTGATTGCTATACTTCTGCTATACCCAATATTTTGAGGCAAAACTAAAAGCAAAGTTAAAGATTTCATCACAAAACAAAAATGAAATGATCTCACACTAGATTTTAAATTCTTAAATAAAGGTCTAAATAGATAAAACACAAATGGGCTTTTAAAAAGTAAATCTACTTAGAGAAGAGGAGCAAAGAAACACTATGAAGAAAAGGAGGTGATTAACCGTATGCTATCTCACCTGCATCTCCCTTGCAAACATGCCAGAAAAGGCGAGGTGTATCCCTCCCCCATTTCTTTGCCTAGATGGGTCCCTTCTCCATTCACACATTTGCTTTAGTTATACCTCATAGAAAGTGCATTAGAGCCTATTGCTTTTAGTGGGTATCTGGAGGCATTATAATCATAAGTATGAAAAGATCTGTTGTATTCTGTACTGGCCTGTGGCCAAAATTAGTATTTCTGCATACACAAAGCAACTGAAAACATGGCTTTGACCCCAGAAACCTTGTAATGGAAGGTAGCAGGCATCCGAAAATTCATTCCACATGTCTGTAGCAAATTTAGGTCCCTCTTACTCTTTGGATATTTAGCTGTATCACTCTTAAATTCAAGGGCTTCCAAGACAAGAGATATTAAGAGATAGTTTGCCATTGCCTGCGTAGCGATCCTAGTATTCCTTGGTGGTCTGCTTAGCTTCTGCGGTCTGAAGAGATCAGCCCAGCCCAGCTATCCAGATCAGGACATTGTTATCGTGGTCTGTGCAAAATCTTCTCCACTTTCTATTTATGGGTCAAAATTACTAATTACAGTGGAACAGAAATATATCATGAAAAATAATTAGATTATGCAACTATTCAGAGAAATATGAACAGCACTTTCCTTTCAGACTGAATCTTTGTGGCTACTCCCTTCTTCCTGTAGTATATGGTGCCTCTTCAAAAGCCACTTATGAGGGATAGTCCTCAGGATGGAATGGTCTGTGATGAGGCATAAAGGCCTGTATTGGAATCAGTAGCCATTGTTTCCCCTACTCTTTGGCACTATGGTTTACCTGGAGCTGCTTTTATGATGTCATTCTCTCCCTCTGGCAGTTACTGCTTTTTGCTTCATTATGATTTAGTCAAATAGGTCATTCCACCTGGTTAGGGCACACGTAGTGATGGTATCACATGGCTAGTCAGGTTTGCCTGTGTTACGATATTACTAAGGCCCCAAACAGATGAGATGCTGAGAATTCTGTGAATTTATCTTCCCAGATTTTTAAAAAGTAAAAAGCAGAGGGTGGATTATCATGACACTCAGCCACACACACACACACACACACACCATTGCTCTCATCCCATCTGAGTCCCTAGATGGCTATTATGTTCCTTTAAAAATGCTGTTAGGCTTTGTTCATTATCCTTTCCTATCTTATCCAGTTTTCTCCAAACAACAAGTGAATGCAACTGAGGGCAAGTGAAGGCAAATTAAACAATTAAGGATATATTTTTTCAAGGATCTCCAAAAACAATTGGAAAAAGGAGACATTTCTGTTGATGCTGAAAATATTTTCAAAAGGCAAATCCCATTTTGACTCACCTCTGTTCATAAATTATCATGTTTAGGATGCAGGCATGGCTTTCCAATCAGAAAATACAGAGGATCTGGTAGGATGAGCCTCATTTCCTCTTTTTCAGCAAGTAAAAACCATAGCAAATACCAGGGTGAAACAATGAGAGAAACACAATGGAAAACATGCCATATATATGTATTTTCTTTCCCCATTCTATTGCCAGTATGTGAAACCACAGTCCCATTGATTTAAATTCTCACAGGATGATAGAGATTAGGGATGGGCACAAGCTGACCATGAATGAAAATTCCTGATGAATTTTGTCCAGTTCATGGTTTGTGAAGTGAAGTTCATGGCAGGTCAACTGGCACAAACTTGCCATGAACTTTCAAGATGTTTGTGGAGGTTCATGCTGGTTCTTGAAAGGATGCATTTCCAAACTGTCTCTGCTCAATCTAAAAGTTTACCTAACTTCATAGCAATATAACTTGGAGACCACATAGAGGAGCATCTGGAGGAGGTCCACTTTGACTTTGATGTCTCTACTTTGCCTAGGATCTGTTCTATACAATCCTGAACCTCCTGAACCTGTGAATGTCAAAATGACCACCTGGCAATGTCATTTTGACAGGTGCAGGTTCAGGAGTGTACATCATGAATCCTGTGCCACAAGCCACACCAAACCACATTTTCCTTGTTCATGCCCTCCCTAATAGAGACCTGAAGGACACAAATTCAAAATCTATGCATGAAGGTGGGACCCAACATTGACAACTCCCCTATATCATACAGATATTCTATCTGTCTGTTTTGTTTTAACCATGCTTCCTCCAACAAGCCTAGAGCTTCTCCCATCCTTGTATGAGGATCCTTGTAGATGGTTCTCCCATCCTTCTATGAGGATCAGTGTTCCCTCTAAGCTGAGTTAGTGTGAGCTAGTTCACAGTTTTTTAAGCCTCTGGCTCACACATTTTTGTTTTAGCTCAGGAAGGATGGCTCCAGAGCAAACTAATTTATGCAGTAGCCAAATCGCTAGCTCCCAACTTTAATGTCAGTATCTCACAAAGTAGAATTTTTGCTCACAAGACCCCACAGCTTAGAGGGAGCATTGATGAGGACATCAGATTAGTGGAAGGCAAAGTGTACCACACATGTGGCAATTATTTGACAATGTGAACATAACCAGTTAATTCCAATAAGTGTATTCCAATGGATAAATACATATATCTATGAGCAAATGCATACAGGTTGTGGGAAATAATGAACAAATATTTGAGTTGAAAACAAAGCATGGAGATCAGTTAATATACACTGAACCTGAAAAGAAAACCTGTACAATGTGCTTCATAGGAAATATTATTTTGGCATTTGGCACCTCCATCAATTTCCCAACCACATTCTTGATGCCTCAGAGGGGGAGGGGGAAGGAAAGAAAGAAAATTGTTCTTGGAAGAGCCTTACTCATTGCATAATGAAGCTAATAAAAAAATTAAAAACTCAAAGCAATTGAATCTCCACCCACCCTGAATGCTAACTTCTTTTCACATGGGAGCACCAAACGGCTCTGTGTAGAAAAAAATGAAGTGATGAATGTATGAAGCTATCTCAGACTAAAGTGCAAATTGTAAATTTAATTAATACATTTGCTTTCATAGGTGTTCCAAGGTACTGGAGTAGTTTCTGGATTCCTGTTGCTATTGAAAACTACTAGTAACCCAGAATCACTTTTTGCTAATACATCTTTTGTACGAGGAAATGAGACCAAAGGGATACCTGATCTCACTGAATCAAACTGAATTTGTCCACAGCCAAAATAAACAATACCTTGCTAATGGGAAAAACCAGTTTTTGCAGAGAACAATCTACTGGTGATCCCCAGCCCAAAAGACATCCGGCTGTTCTTGACAAGAGCCAGGGCCTTTTCAGCCCTGGCTCCTACCTGGTGGAACTCTCTGCCAAATAACATCTGCGTCCTAATGCAGTTCTGCAGGGCTTGCAAGGCAGAGATGTTCCACCAGGCTTTTGGTTGAGGACAGCAGTGGGTTTTATCCTATCTGGCACTCCTTCCTCCCCCCACTTCCTCTCTACCTACCCCGCAAGACAGCAATACAACTTGAAATTCTGGTATTTTAGCTCCATCTGAAATGTTTTAGTCATATTTATTTAATTGTTGGAATTGTTTTATTATTTTATTAATGTTTTTATTGTTGTTCACCACCCCGAGTCCTGTATTTTTAGGGAAGGGTGGTCTATACATTTAAATTATAAATAAAATATAAATAAAGAAATAAAGTTTGTTGACATTACATGTAATTCTTTTTCCCAATGACTTCTACAAATAGATGATGTATGTATGTTTGTATGTAGGTATGTCCGTTATAGTCTACTTTTTCTCACTGAGCTCAGGTTATTTCAGAGACATTAAAACAACACTGAAAACTACCACCCTTTTTGTTTCTTAAAGAATGCCCCCCAAACAACTCCATGTTATGCATTCTGCAGAATAATAAAAAGGGGAGCCTTCCTGAATGCATCTTCTGTTGGGATGTGATTTAAAGGGGGCAATGGGCATGAGGGGCCATTTCCCCACCAAACAAATCAACCACTCAAGCTGGCGAAAACTGACAAATTCCTTTACTTTTCCCCTAGAGTAGATAAAAGTGCCTTGCAGGTTTTCAATAGGAAAATGGTGCAAAAGGAGAAACTTATTCTTCTCTCGCTGACAGAACAGCCGCTTCAAATCATTGTTGTCATGGCTTAATTATGTTACAAATGTCAGAAAAAATACTGGAACAACTTGTAATGTGTAGTGCAGTCCTCAAGATGGAGCTACTTTTATGAAAGTTAATGCACCCTCATGACAGAACATCTCTGAACAAGAAAAGTGATCTCTTTACTTTGTTGTTATTTTAATGGGACACTTCATTTTATCTTATGTCATAAAGGTTAGTTGCCTTTGACATAACAAGAAGACATAAAATAATTATTTACTTATGTAGCAATGTTTCATATTAATTAGTTACTTGCATAGCAACGTCACAATGAGCTAATGGTTGGGCAGACAATGATGGTTTTAATGCTGGATCATTAACAGAGGTTACTGTATCACTGGAAACCTCATTCCTAAGAGCATCCTGCCAAAGACTAAAATGGGGAGATACCTGTGCTTTAACAATTTCATCATGGCAATTTCAGGATGGCAGTTCAAATGTCTAGATGATTAACTGACAAATCTGGCTAATGGATATGGATGTAACTTAATTCATAAGGAGCTTTCTCATGCCAAATGGATCATCTCAAATACAGGATTCACAAGCCCATTTTCAGACCCTGTATAATCACCAAAATGAGGTGACTGAAATTAGTCTATGATAGTATGAGGATGCTGCTGGTGGCATTTCTTATGGAGATTTGCAGGGAGAACTGCGCTCCACCTAGTGTTTAAGGCACACCATTATTGACATAACCTATACAGTTCTAAAAATGTGTTGGAAAATACCCATCCTTGTATTCAGTCAGTTTGGAACAGGGATTGGCTCAGAGAAATAACCTTGCCAAAGAAACAGAAGCTGGAACAGGATGAATCTGGAACTTCTACATTTGTAAATAAACCCACCAATAATTCCTGGTTGTTATTTTAGACTAAGGGGATTGTTTCCTCCTACCCGCCCCCCCATTCTAGTCCACTGTGTTCAAGCCAATTAATCTCAATTTTTTGAAGTTTCTCTTAATGGCATCTGTCAGTGAATATCCTATTGTTAAAACAAACATCAGGTCAGCCAGTGCTGGAGTCAAAATTCTTCCAGTTCACAACTTGTGGAGTTATTGTAATGAAGTCAAGGCCCTTGGGATAAAAACAGTTGGAATGATCAAAGACTTGACAGATACTGATCTTCCACGGAATCCTTTAGCTATAATTTTGGGTTTTGTTAAAAGTGTTGTTAACATATATAAGAAAATTAAACACTAGAAAACTAGCTGGTTGCAGCCAATATTGAAATTGAACCTGAAAGTAAAATGATTGTTGGTCAAATGCTGACTGGGTGTGGGGGGGGGGTGGGGGGGGATACTGGAATACTTTACAGCTAATAAAACTGACATGTATAGGTAGGTTTGGGTAGAGCCAAGAGAAAGGGAACCTGCTTCAAGACCGGTGAAAAGCTTTTATTGGTGTATGTAATCTGAGATCTAGACAAAATATAATCTCAGATATAATACTGTATTTCTTTCTTTTATAAAATAGATGTTGCAATCTTCTCTTTAAAAATACTTTCTGTGTTTGAGATTTTTATGCCATTAAAAATGCAAACAGTTTTATTTTGTATGAGTAAAATTACTAGTTATTGCACATAATTTTCTCACCACCCGCTGACAATTAGATGCACAAGTCCAGGCTGCCAAAGAAGCTGACATCCGACTTTGTGATTTGCAAACAATGTAAACTGGAATACTGGCTTGATATATATAAACTAGAAAGAACATAATCTTCTTTCCCAACTCCTTATTTGTATTGTTATATATATATAAAATTAAATGTATTTTAATTGTAATTGTAATTTTGGTGTAACTAAGATTAAGTCTATTTACGATGCAATTTCAATCTGTTCACAAAATAAGTAGACCTATGATTTTTACCAGAACCTTTTCCAGCTGTATTTTCTTACACACTGAATCTAAAGGCAATATTTGACAGCCAGTCCCATAGAAGTCAATCAAATCAATGAACAATTACAATGATTGAAATACACATAAAAAGGAAAGTGGTGGTGGTAAAAAGAAGAGAAAATGAATTTACCACACTAGCAGTAACACCCTAAACAGAGTTGCATACTTTTAAATTTAAAAGGCTATACTTTTGCTTGGAATAGCACTGTACATTTAAACACTATTTTTGAGTGATCTAAGCTGATTCTGAAATTATTTCGTTTATAGAAGAAAATTAGAATTTTGCGAGATTAGTACAGTCCCCTTTAGAATTTGTAGTGATCCCTCTTACTTTGGTTGGTGAAAAAATTGTTGCAGTTGAGTAAAAGATACGGGGGGGGGGGGGGGACTCAGCCACGGGTAAGCACTGTTAAGTCACATTAATTTCAATGAGAGAATGAGGCATGACCTCCAGTCTGTCCATTAAAATGAAATGCAATTAGCAGTTCATAAATCTGGCAAGATTAATTTCAAAAAATTTATTACAACTAGCAGAATTTTGCCTACTCAGTGCCACAGAATCATTTTGGCAGCAAACACCTTGATGTGTGTATATTCCAACTTAAGGCAGCAATTCTTTTTCACTGCCTTGGTTAGCAAGCATTCACTTACTTGTTGCTGAATGCACAGATCTGGACTCTTGGGAGCTGAACATGGCAGTTTTATATACTTCAGAAAATTCAAGTAATGGTATTTTCAGATACTGATTTGCATTTTTCTTTGGAGTCTCTGCATGTTCAAAATAGAATCCGTGCATATTCATGACAAATCTGTCATCAACAGCAACCACCAGAGGTCTCAGCAACACAAAAGATAACACATTTACTCGGCATACATTAAATTGATAATTGATTTATAGTGTTGATCCTGGACAAAAACACACATCTCTGTGTACTTATTTTTAATCTCAGTGGGAGGCCTGATTATTTTATGATAGTCTAGGCCTTGATAACATGCATCAAAGACTACATTAAACAATTTCATTATTTGCTGCTGTTGCTTTCATAAATATGTAACAAAATGTATTCTTGGGGGCCAGTGGCAAGAGCAATCCTTTAAAAATAATAAATGTCCTTTGTATGTTCTTTAGTATCTAAAGGTCTGTAAAAGTTAGTTTGGAATGTCATGCTAGCAATTACATGGCAAGTTTCTTACACAGCAGGAGCACAAATGGTTTTCACTCATGAAAATATATTGAATAGAAGTTTAGCTGAGAAACACATATATATCTTTTCCAAATTTATTTTATCAAGTTCCAGAGTATGACAGTTAGGGCAGAAACACCACTGACAAGTAAGGTACCGCATTAAGCCTGCTAACACCAGACTACATTGGCACCTTCTAAGATCTTCTATTTAAATAAATAAACTAAGCTTACTTGTAGCTGGAACAGCTTAGTCTCTTCCCAAGAGTTTGTTAGATCCAAGCGTAGGTCTTCTAATCCAAGAGACTTTCTAGCTGTGAGAGGTAATCGCTAGATTGGAAGGAGGGCCACCTGCAGTTCTGCGATATATGGAACACTCTGCAGACAGGTCTGTTTGGTTTTTCAGGTTCCTATACACACCCCCTTTGATGACAGCGATAATATACTGTGTGACAGAGCTGAAAGGTGAAGGAGGGGAAAATGGTTCTTAAATTCAGCAATGTTTAGTTTTTATTCTTCATTAGGTTTTTAAAGTATCCATTCTCTTCATATCTCAGGGGCCATACAACGTAGACAAGGTGGGTGAACTTTTCTTCTATGATTTGCTCTGTAAAAACAAAATACTGATTCACCATTCAGATCAAGAAAAGGAATCACTGCAATTCACTCTTAGACACACAACAAAAAAGGAATGTTGTAACCCCCCTAAGTCTGCCGTGCAGGGGAGGGAGGGCTAAAAGTAAAAAGAACCAAATAAATAAATAAATAGTTCTCCTGTGAGCCAGGAGTTATCAATATGTTGCTTATAAAGATGTTCCCACTTGTGAGGTGTTGATAGCACCGGTGAACAAAACACATAAGAGACGTATATATTTTTCATGGTAAGGTGATAGGAAGGTGAGCCCCCCCCCCCCAAGAAAACAAAGTTTTCTTCATCCCTTTAGTAAAGAACTGTGGAATCCCTAGACTAGGGAAACAGCAACATTTGAATCACAAAGCACATCTTCTCAGCTCTGGCAGGCAAATGCTAATCAACACACATGCTAGCTATACAGAGGTGCCTTTTGGCAGTAAATTACTAATTATTACAAAAGCATAAAACCTTTTCATAGTGTTGTAGCTGGCTGAAAGAAATCTGTAAAGTATGCAGGAGCTCATGTATAAAGAGAAGGGCTGAACTCATGTAGAACACTAATACCACAATCCTACGCGATATTATTTGAAAGTAAGTTCCATTGAGCTCAGTTGGATTTATTGTCAAGTCAATGTGCAGCCTCAGTGGCACTTGAATTACTGTGCCTTTAAAGCAAGTGATACAAAAATATTTGAATGCTTGAGAATGCACTCTTGTCAGCTCTTTCTTCCATTTGCATGCCACAGAGACATGGCCACAGATACACACATCACTACAAATCTCTGCTTTCACACAACAATTTTTGTTTGTGTTGGTGATAAAGGCCTTGAGTGGTGGTTTTGTTTAGCAAAATAATTTTGTCTGCACCTTACCAGACATTTGGAAAACCCTTCTTATTAGATTGTTTCTGTTTTTCATTCTTGATGCTTATTACCTCTCACACTTATTCACCTGTTCTGTCCCATTTTCTGTTATTCGTATCTAGCACTATGTGCATGTTGCATTTTCTTCTGCTGCTTGATAATACTATCTTTTCTTCTGTCACCTCCTTTCTCTTTTTATTTGTCCCTTTTTAGGTTCTTAAATCTCAAATCTCTGTTTTGAATAGTAATCTTAATGTGCTTGACAGGAATAGTAATTTTAATGTGCTTGACAGTTAAGGGGAAGGAGTGAGCTGCACTGAGTGACATGGGACTTCTGAGTAGACTGGCTTTGATTGGCTGAATAGGTCACCATTTTAAAGGATACTTTTCAGCAAGATAACTTACAATGTCCACTACCACCCCCTCCCTCAAAAGCAGAGGTCATTTCGGGGGGGAATGTGGGGGATCGCAGTTCCCCCGGGTGAGGTACGGGGGCCGGGCACATGGCGAAGCCCCACCCCCTGCTTCTGGCCGCCCCGCTTCCGGCCCACATTCAGCTAAGAGGAGGCAGGAGAAGAGGGAGGGTAAGTTGCTTCCTCCCTGCCTCTCCCCACCCCTGCCTGCCTGGGGCCAGGGAGGGCCTTCGCGGGGCTTCCTTGCACTCCTGCCGGCCTTGCAGGTCCACCGCCGGGCCCCTCATGGGGGCGGGGTGTGTGGCCTTATGACACACTTCCGGTGATGTCAGGGGGTGTGGCATATGCTAATGAGTTATGCTAATGAGTTCCCCTAGCTCTTTTTCTACGAAACGACCCCTGCTCAAAAGCCACATCTGGTATGACCCAGCCAAAGTTAAGCAGGTTTGCACTCAAATTACTTTAATGTGACTGTACTGTTCCAGCCTCTGAGCGACATAGTGACAGAGTTCAGCACCTATGTAACTTTGTCACTAACAAGATTTGAACATGCTTCACTTGGCTGGATCATGCCCATACAGCACAGAGATCTGTTCAAATGTGTTGCGCAATTGTGGATTTTTGTTCACCTTATGATTTGCTTCAGTTTGAGCATATCCTGGAAGGTCTAACAGATGACTTTTAAAGGCTGGACCTAGCAACTAAAGCTAGACTTTTGGTCATGTATAGAGGCACAATCCAGTCTAAAGTCAAGCAGTTTTTCTGTCCTACTGATTTCATCAGGAGACCTTTAAACACATGCTATTCTGGCTCACTGAAAACAGTGATGCTTAACTGTGCTCCACGTTGGCCGGATATTTAAAGGGTATTTTAATTTGTTAATTTTCTTGAATTGTTGCTTTAATGTGATACACTCTAGCAAAAGCCCTCAGGATAAGGTGGATAATACATTCTAAATAAAATAAATAGTATTTGCATAAACGTTTTAGTCATTGCACTTGTTTTGTTCTGTGACTCTATTTCTGCTGTTTCAAGCAAAAGTCTGGAACTGGCAGCACTTAAAATTTATCAGCAGTTAATTGAGATCTCAATTTGCACATATGAAGATTCAGCAAATTAAGTATTTGCTTATAGATGTACGTGCTGTCACAGACAGACAATCTAACTTCACATAGATACTGATGTGGTTCTCTAAATTAGCTGTGACTATCCAGCATAAAGAATGTCAGCCCAGTTCTCCATAGCTATGAATAAGGCAATTTCCATGTTAGGAATTACAAGTGGGAACTGGCAGCGACGGGGGGCCGCCGAGTGGGGGGCTGCAGTGCACGTGGCTGAGGGAAATCATCCCTGTGTGCCATGGCCCCCACCCCACTTGCAAAAAGACCCTTTAAAGGGTCTTTTTGCGAGCTGAGCATGTGGCCTGAGACCACCCCTCTCCCTTTGCTAGATTTAAAGGGTCCTCCAGCTGGTCAATGGGCCATGTGGTCCATGCCAATCAGCTGAAGTCCTTTAAATCAGGCAGGAGGGGAGGGAGAGGGGTGGCCTGACAGGTGGTTGCTCTTGGGGGGGGCTGGGGGGCTTCCCCCACTGGCCAGGGGCAGATTGAAGCCCCCAGAAGCAGGGGAACCCCTGCCTGGACCTGGGGGCTGGCAACCCTACAGTGACATAGGCACATCGCTCCACGTTGCTGTTGGGGGAGGATTTCCTCCCAACAGCCAGCTGGCTGGCAGCAGACAGGAGCCTGCAAAACCGGGGGATCCCCCCCCCAACTGGGGACTGGTATATAGACAAGTGTGGGGCCCCAATACTCATGGGGGAGAATTCCCTCCTCCCCTTTCTTGCCAGGTCCAGCACTGCTCAAAAGAACAATGAAAATCTTCCTAAGAGGAAGACATTTGGGCTTTTTAGTTTAGAAAAAGAGGCATCTCAAGGAAAGCAAGTCTGAGTTTAATAAAATTGTTATGATGCAGGGAAAGGAAAATGTGTTTATTCTTCTTGTTACATTAGAACTCTGGATCTCTTGATAAAACTGATTTGCAGTAGGTTCAGAACTGGCTACATGAGGGTGCTTCTAGACCTGAGCTTCCTGTTGGATAAACAGGTGGCAGAGGTTGCAGGGATGCCTTTTGCCAGCTTCAGATGGTGATTCATCTGCAGCTTGTCCTGAGCAGGAAACATATTGCCACTTTAGTGCATGCCTTGGCTATGTCTAGATGCGATGACTGCAGTACACTCTACATGGGGTTGCCCTTGAAGATTGTCAGGAAGATACAATTGGTACAGAATGCTGTGGCCAGAATGTTGACTGGAGTGGGTCACAGAGACCATATCACTCCAGTCTTGTTCCATCTATACAGGCTACACATTTGTTTCTGTGTCCAATTCAAAGTGATGGTATCAAGCTTTAAAGCCCTATATGGCTTAGGGATAGCATACTGGAAGGACTGCTTTCTCCCATATGAACATCCCTATCTACTCTGGTCATCTTCAGAGGCCCTACTTTGTGTACTCCCGCCATCTTAGGCTACATGGGTGGCATCCCAAGAAAGGGCCTTCTCTCTCTCTCTCTCCCTCCCTGCCTCCTCCACCCCAGACATTCTTTTCCCCCAGTGGGTGAAGACTTTTTTGTTTGGCATATGCCCCATAACTGTTATTGGCCCCCTCCTTCCTTGATTTTTGGTGCTATGAGTGTTTATAGTTTTTTACTGAATTAGAGACATATTTTTTTAAAAAATGTTTTTAGTATTGGAATGTTTTAATGTTTGATGTTCACTACTTTGGGAGCTATGGGGGTGAAAAGGCAGAATAGAAATGTTTTAGTTCAATAAATCAATCAATAAATGTCTATCAATGGCCATTAGCCATGATCACTAAATAGAATTCAAAAAAGAACCCTGGCCTGATCCAGCTAGGAAAATCTTATGTTTTTGTTCATGTAGAAGAATATTTATATAGTTATTTGTTGCTGTTTTTAATTAGAAAATTTGTATGTCACTTGTTCAGACCTGCTGAAGGCAGCTCAAAACTAAAGCAGTGAAATGGAATGATTCAATATCAGCAAAAAGGATAAAAAACAGATCATACCAATGAGAACAAATAAACACAAAATCAATAAAATCACTATCAGTAAGAACATATGAATAAACACTAGCCAAGGCATAAGAGCACTTAAAACAGAGCAGTCTAAAATAATGTTGATAAAACAATCCTCAGCCCAGGAGCCATCCATAAAACAGCTAAAAAACAAATGAACTTTGGATTGAGATAAATGTTTTGGTGAGGCACCTAAAAAAGCTCTGTCTCTGTTTGCCATCTGTCTTGAATCTGTAGGCAGGGTACTAAGAGCAGGATTTGCAAAGAGAATCTCAACTGTCAGGCTGGGCAATATGTACCCCAGCTCTGGCCAAATCATG